TTTTACTTGTCAACCTTGGGTTTGTCAGCCTCAGCAGCCAGTAGCCGTCTGAGTGAAGAAAAGCCTCTAGCTTCAGTGGGCTGGGAGCAGGAGGCAGAGCTGAAGCCCAAGGTTGAGGGGCTTTCACCCAGCCCCTAGAGCCTGGCACTTTGAACTCAGGCTTAAAGCCTCCAAACTGTAAGAGAATAAACTCCTGTTTGTTAAAGCCATCCCATTTATGGTATTTTCTGTTAGAGCAGCACAGAGTAACCAAAACAGGATCTATGAAATTTTATTTTCAGCATGTTTTGAATTTTTGCAGTTTTAGAGATTAAAAAGGGTTTTGTTTTTTTTTTGCCACTTTAACTACTTTTAAGTATATAATCCAATGATTTTAATTACATTCACAATGTTGTGTAACCATCATCGTTATCTATTTCCAAAACTTTTTCACACTCCAAAGAGAAACTCAATACCCCTTAAGCAGTAACTTTATTCTCCCTCCCCCTAGGCCCTGTTAACCACTAATCTTCATCATGCATTTTCCTATTCCAGGTATTTGATATAAGTGGGATCATACAATATTGTCCTTCTTGTGTCTGAGTTATTTCACTCAGCATAATGTTTTCAAGCTCCATCCATATCATAGCATGTATCAGAACTTAATTTCTCTTCACTGAATAATATTCCACTGCATGTATAGTCCATATTTTGTTTATCCATCCATCTGCTGACGGGCACGTAGGCTGCTTCTACTTTTTAACTATTAGGAATAGTATGCAATGAATGCTGGTATACAAGTAGCTCCTTGTGCCCCTGCTTTTCAAGTCTTTTGGGGATATACCTAACAGTGGTATCAAATACAGCTTTAATGTTAAAGAACAATGATGAATCTGTTGAACATCTCATAATACAGATGAACCTAGAGGATATTATGCTGAGTAAAGTTAGTCAATCACAAAAGGACAAATATTTTCTGAGAAAAGAAATGTTTCTGTATAAAGTGGAAAAAAAAAAGTCTTCACAAAAAAGAAATATTCTTTGATGATTACCAGGGGTGGGTGGGGGAGGGAAGCTAAACCACTAGAGGGTTGACACATTAACTTGGGTGAAGGGAATAACATTAAAAAAGAAAGCAATGGAAAAATAAATAAAAGATGCAGTTTTAAAAACTACTTTTTAACACTTTAATTTCTACTATTATATTATGAATTTCTTTTTCTTTTGGTTTATTTGATCCCTTTTCTTGCTTTCTGATTTGACTGCCTGATCCATTTCTTTTCATTTAAAGCACCGAAAAAAGAAATTTTCTCTGAATATGGCTTTGATTGGGTCACAAATAGTTTTCTCATTGCTGTTACTGTATCTATTAGTTCCTATTTGGAACATGATTGGGAAGATATAAATTTAATTTTTTCTGTCCAATTACTATTTGCTATGTCCATCTCCTACCTCAAGCTCAAATTACGAGTAACAGCAATGATACCAAACAGCTGTAGTTTGTTGAATTCTTCAGTCATACACTGTCAAACTCATTATTTTATTTCATCCTCACACCAACCTATAAGTTGGTACAATGACCCTTATTTTGCAGACTAGAAACAAACACACAAAGTAGTTAAGTAATTCATATGATCTGGTCACATGATCAGTAGCCCCGAAGCTTGAAGCCAAATCCAGGGCCATCAGACCCCAAAGCTGATGTTTTTTCCATTGTGCCTTCTGGACTTGTTTCCCCACTCTGATCTCTTCAACCTTATGATTCTTTTGTCCTCTTAAATCCTTTAGCTTTTGCTCCACATTAGCTATACCATAGTGACTGCACCATAGTGACGCTGTAGGACAGAGTAGAACCACCCTATATGGTTTCTAAGGCTGTAATCTTTATCGGAGCAGACTGTCACATTTTCTTCTCTCCCATGGAGTGACTGGTGGGTTCAAACAACAGACCTTTTGGTTAGCAGCCAAGCACTTAACCACTGCACCACCAGCGTCCTTCAGAGCACCACAGACCCTGTAAATTGGTACCTCACAGGCTTCTCTAGTGCTCCACTGATAGAGAGTGTGGCCTAATGGTTAAGGGCACAGATCATGGAGCCAGTGTAGTACCTGGTTCCCATCCTGTCTGCTACTTACCAGCTGTGTCACCTAGGCAAGTTACTCCCTTTGTGACCTTTCCACAGGTCTGCTTTAAGACTTAAATCAAGCACTTAGAAAAATGTTAGTCCACATAAGAGCTAAATAAAACTTGTACAGAGTTCCAGAATGGAACTTACTTCTACCATCTGTTAACATTATTGTCTGATAATATTATTATCAATCTCTAGCATTAGAGACTGGCTCAGCACAGAAATGAGAGGCAGAGACATTTGTAAGACACTGTCACACAGTTTGTGAGTACATACTCACCAACATTCTTCTGGATGTCTATGACAAAGTGCTTCTCTGGATTCTGGCAGCTAAAGTCAAAGACTGATCTTTCTCCAGACTTGATGGATAGTGTGGGTTGGTATCTTTTTGAAATGACAATGTAACAGGGCTTTCCTGGCACAGCTGGCATCCCGGACTTTATAGAAATTGTAATGCCGCTTCTAGGTGGCAGAGCGATATCAAAAGCTTCTGCAGAAAGGAAGAGAAATGAAGTGAGTGCCAGTGCCTTGGTCCTGATCGTGGGTCTCTGGACAGCTGATAGGCTGGGAGGAGTGGATGCTGAGATGATTGTCTGTAGGTGGGCCCAGTGGTGGGACCCCAGAGGCCCAGAGACTCGCAGAGCTGGAGTTGGTGCCTCTGCTGCACTGTGTTCTGGTGCAATAGATGGTATTTGTTAGGGCATCTGCACATAAGAACCCACTGCCGTCAAGTCAATTCTGCCTCATAGCAATCCTATAGGACAGAGCAGAACTGCCCCAGAGGGTTTCCAAGGCTGTAATCTTTATAGAAGCAGATGTCCACATCCTTTTCCTGTGAGTGCTGACCTTTTGGTTAGCAGATGAGCACTTAACCACTCTGTCACCAGGGCTCCTCATCTGCTCATAGAAGATCCTTAATAAATGCTTGGTGAGTGAATGAATGGATAGTAATCTAACCAAAAACTTTTCTGTTTTCCAGCTATGCTTCTTTCCTCTTTTAAAGAATTTATTTTTTAAATCAACTCTATTGTGGTATAATTTACATACAAAACCCACCCATTTAATGTATATGCCGTGTAACCACCGCCTCCACAACCAAGCTATAAAAACATTTCTATCATCCCCCCAAATTCCCTAGTACCCTTTTGTGGTCAACCTCCCCCTCCCTTGCTGTCTCCAGAAAACTATCAATTAGCTTTGCCTGATCCAGACCTTCATGTAAATGGAATGCTCTCTTTTGTACCTCATTTGCTCAGCATAACCTCTGTGAGATTCACCCTTGTTGTTGCATGGAGTAGAAGTTTATACCTTTTCACTGCTGAATAGTATTTCACTGTGTAGACAGGCCATGATCAGGAGCTCTGGTGGTTTAGTGCCTAAGGCATTTGACTGCTAACCAGAAGGCTGGTGGTTCAAACCCACTAGCCACTCCTCGGAAGGAAGGTTGGGCAATTTGCTTCTATAGTGATACTGCCTCAGAAACCCAAGGAGGGGTCACTATGAGCTGGATCCGACTTGATGGCAGTGTACAACAACACACCAACAGACAGGCCACGATTTGTTTACCCATGAACATGTAGAGTAACAGTTGAGTTCTCTCCTGTTTTTGACTAGCCCTATGTTTTAATTTTACCAGAACTGCTAGCCTGAGAGAGGTGTTTCTCCCCTCAGGTGCAGCGAATGAGCCTGCCTGTACACCCGCAGCTGCTGGCAGCTGGATGTGGTCAAAGGTTTGGATTTTCATCAACCTCTTCTTGCACTTTCTTTCTCCTTCTCATTCACCCTGTTCTAGCCCCACTGGCCAGCAGCTGTTTTAGACAGTAGAGAAATCGACCCCTCCTTTGTCTAGGATATGAACTGCAAATATTTTCCACATTTTATCATTTGCCTTTTGATCACATTTGAAATGCTTTTTCCAGTAAGAACTTGAACCTCTTTAGTCCCTGATCCTTCCTTTGTAAAATGAAAGGGCTAGGCTACAGTAATTCTAAATTCCTTGCCAGCTCTGAGTCTGTGATTAGTATGGGAATAACTAAGAAGTGACTCTCTCACTGTACAACTCTGACCAGCAATGACACACCTCCCATCGTGCCAGGCGCTAACATGGCTGGCTTCCTGACTATTTTCAAGAGGGCTCAGGTTTTCATTTTGGGAGCAACCTTCTGATCTCTCCAACCTCAGCTTGTACCTTTCTCCACCTTGGTCACTGTGCTTGGGCCATACTGGCCTATTTCTTGAACATGCCAGCACCTTTCCTATCTCAGGGCGTTTGCACTTACTGGCCCCAATTCCTATAATGCTTTTTCTCTAGGTCTTCTTGGGGTTAGTTTCTCTGTTTTTCCACTCTCAGTCCAAAGGTCACCTCCCCAGAGGGGCCTCGCTAAGCAGCAACCTATGTGCTCCTCCTACCTTAGTTGTCCTCTGCCTGTCACCCTGCTTTATGTCTGTCCAGTTCTAGTCTGTGATAGATGGTATTTTGTTATTTGTCCACTTGTCCCGTATCCTGTAATTAGAATACAAAGTCTTACAGGGGGGCAGCTAGGACCTGCCCATTTTGTTCAGTGGTAGCCTCAGAACCCAGAACAGTACGTGGTGCCCATGTGGTGACGTGGTGGCAGAAAGGTACAAGCCCCTAATGTTTGCATGTGTACAGGTGGTTCTGTGGTAGAATTCTTGCTTTCCATGTAGGAGACCGGTGTTCGATTCCTGCCCAATGCACCTCATGTGTAGCCACCATCAGTCTGTCAGTGGAGGCTTGTACGGTGCTGAACAGGTTTTAGCAGAGCTTCCAGACTAAGACAGACTAGGAAGAAAGGCCTGACAACCTACTTCCACAAATCAGACAATGAAAACCCTACAGTCACAATGGTCCGATCCACAATTGATTACGGGGATGGTGCAGGACTGGACAGTGTTTCATTCCATTGTGCATGGGGTCCAAGAGTTGGGAGCTGACTTGACTGCACGCAGCAACAACAGTCTCCACACAAAACCATAATCCCCATGTTCTTGTCCTTGTGGCATCTAGTTTCTACTAGACATACTGCCATCTCTGTGTTCCAGTTTGTGCTAATAAATTGTGGCAGGAACCAGGGACTTTAAGCCTTTTAATGAACAACCTCAGAGAGAGAAAACATGCTTATTCATTCACTCAGAGGCTTTGTCCTCAAGCATTGCGGCCATTTACAATCTTCTGAGATAAAACCTTAAGGCACAGGGGTTAAGACTTCAGATTAAAAATAAATCCAACTCTACGTCCGAAACCTAGTTGTCAGGTCTGTATCCAGCTGTATATTACAAGCCCTGTGTTCCTTTTCTGTAATCATAAAAATGTCTTATCCTGTTATTTGTAAAGAATTCTTGAAGCACACAGTTTCCCAAGGCCTGGTTCCTCTCCTAGGGCCTCCGACCCCTGGCTCTCAAGTGATGCTAATTCACTGTTGTGTGAAGCTGCATCCTGTCTCAGGCTGCCTCTGCCAGCTACATATCAATTTCTTTCTCTTCCTTATTTTCTAACTGTGTGCTTTTTCACCCTTTGGCCAAAGAATTATTTTAAAATCCTTGACTCTGAGATGATTATTGGAGTCTCCAAAAGGAGCTCCGGTGGCATAGTGTCTAAGGCATTTGACTGCTGACCAGAAGGTTGGCGGTTCAAACCTACTAGCCACTCCATGGAAGGAAGGTTGGGCAATCTACTTCTGTAAAGATTTACCACTTCGGAAACCCAAGGGAGGTTGCTATGAGTCAGAATCGACTTGATGGCAGTTCGGTTTTTTGTAAGTGGCATAAACAGTTAAGCACTTGACTACTAGCCCAATGGTTGGCGATTTGAACCTACCCAGTGGTGTCTAAGTAGAAAGGCCTGGCAATCTGCTTCCAAAGGGTCACAGCCTTGAAAACCCTATGGAGCAGGTCTGCTCTGCATGCTTGGGGTTGCTGTCAGTCAGAATCAGTGGCAACTAACGGCAACAAGATAATAATAATAATAATAATTATTTTTTAAATTAAGTGATAGGTTTATAGTGACACTAAGCAGATCAGTGGTTGCTGGGGCTGGGGGAGGGCAGGAAAGGGGATGGGATGCAAAGGGGCATGAGGAAAGTCTGTAGGCTGAGGGAACTGTTCTGTGTCTTACTATTATGGTGATTACACAACTGTGTACAAATACCAAAATTCATCAAACTTAAAACTGGTGGAGTTTATTACATGTAAATTATACCTTAATAAACAAAAAGAAAAAAAAAAAAGAGAGAGAGAGAATAAAAGCTTAAATGATAGAAAGATTGTATTTCCACACAAAGGAGGCAGGTGAATGAATCAAAGAATAGTCATGACCTCAGTGAAAATATGGCTTCATCATATTATTGGATAGGCCTAGTTTCTCTCATGATATGTGTCATCTTTTCAAATATCTTTAAATTAGATTCTGGAAAGAACAAGGCTGAGCCCAATCTCTCCACTCAGTTCTCTCCTGCCTTCAGTCAGGACCATACTTCAAATAATCCGGGTACATGACAGTCTAGTCTAGTGATAGCCAAAGAAAATTTATCATCTCTTTTAGAAATTCAGCCTCTGTATTTTTTTCTCTTTTTGATCTTTGAAATCATGTATTCATGCAACCAACTTTTTCTGCCTTTGTAGTATATCCCAGGTACCATAATCAGGGCAGATAATATAACAACAAAAAACAGCCAGAGTCTCTGTCCTCAGGGTGTTAATCATCTAGTCTTAAAAAAAATAAAATAACCCAAACTCACTGACATCGAGTTGATTGCAATACATAGCAACCTCCACTGGTTTTTCAAGGCTATAAATCATGGAAGCAGACCGGCCCATCTTTCTTCCATGGAGTGGCTTGTGGGTTCGAACCATCAACCTTTTGGTTAGCAGCCAAATACCTTAACCACTACGCCGTTAAAAAAACAAAAACCAAACTCACTGCCATCGAGTCAATTCCGACTATGCCACTAGAGGTTTCCAAATGGTCTGTAGTGAGGTTTTAAAAATGGTGAGTCCCAAGTCCCAGTAGGCCTTGGATAAGCCCTGGAAATCTGTATTGGAAGCATTTGTTGTTGTTCATCCTTAGAGATAGGGACTCATTTTCATTTTTTCTTCATATAGAGAGCCCATGGTTCCACCTCTCATCACTGAATACTCCAGTCCTTCCTTCATGGATCACTAACAACGCCTCTATTTTTTATTTCAAGTCTACATAACTCAGATTTTCACCCAAACTCATTTTGCAAACAATAAAAAATAAAGCCTGGGAAAGGTTAAATGATTCTCTCCAGGTTAGACTTTAACACTTTACTGTGTTTCTCTGCTCTGACCTCAAGATGACCAATCCAGCATGCTCTACTGCCCGGACACAGTCCCTATCTATCCTGACCAAAGAACCTGGGCCTGGGGAAGCTTTGCCTAGCTGCCTGGCTCATGTTCAGCAAAGCCAAGTCTTACTCCCTTTGCAGCAGGAGGAGATGAC